ATGCCAGAATATGGTGCTTGCTTTCCTCCAGTTCTGCTCGAAGATGTGATTTGCAATGCTGTAAAGAGATTTCTACCCTGCCAGAGGCCCCTTGGGAAAGTAGGGTTTGCTGTTATTTCTGTGAGTAGCCTTTGTCAAAAGCATGTCTTTTCAGGCCTGGTTGCTCTTGACCTGGGAAGGAAGAGTGGGGGCAGAAAAGAAGTCATGCAGAACACATGTTCTGCAGCATCAGCAACAGATGAGGGAGGATTGGATTTTAGCTTCAGGGAAGCAAAGTCAGAACTAAGCTGCCAGCATGTTGCACACTGCTTGAAATGAAAAGTGTTGGATTGGGGCACTTACCAGAGCCAAGTTGTACTGCAATCTGACCATGATTCCAGATATTAAATATCATTTTACGATGGAGATTTAATAAGTATATGTATTGGCACTGATGCTTTGCGTGTTTCATATACTATCACTGAGGCCAGACCCAAAGTTCCTTAAATCAGCTGAGAAGTTCTCAGGGATTCCAGACGGTTTTACATGACAGACTCCGTGCTTCGTTAATGCATTCTGAGGTTGGGAACTTTCCAAAAGAGTTCAAATATTTTATTTCATTTTTAGTTTGTTTGTTTTAGTCTTTTCCACATTTTTAATCTACATAATTGACATTATGCAATCAGAATAAAATCTTCTGGAAGTCAGGTTCCACTGAGCATCGTAACAGATGGCAGAGTGTGTGGTTTTCCATGGTAATAATAATACAGAAAAGGGAGTGCTTCTGTTCAAATTCCTTTCACCTCCCACCTGAAATTTTGCAATGGTCTCTACCCTCTTAAAACCATGCTCTGAATATCTCCCTAATGCTTTGGACATGAATTCAGAGTAGAAAAATGTAACAAGTTGCTTTACCATCCAATCCTTTAATAAATGCATGACATCTGGGTCTCTTTCTCCTGTTGGTTTCTTTCTGCAGGTTATTCCCCTACTGACTGGAGAAAAAGATGCACTGTATCAAAATGATCTGGTACTTTTTCAGTACAAAGAGCTGAAACAGCACCAGCATTAATACTGTCCTAAATATGAGAGAAAAAAATAGATTCTTGAGATCGTAATACAAAGCAAATGGAGAATACTAAAATATGCCTATCTAAAGGAAAAGAGTGAAAGCAGATCAGTTTAAAGAGATGTAATAACACTTATACCTTGTCTACTTAGTGCAAGATCTAAAAGCCCTCATTCCCTTCATGCTGCTTTAGAACAATATTTGGTAATAGAGCTTTTTATCCTACAGTCAGCCAAGGGCAGCCATTGTGCACCAGACGTGTAAAAGGGAGATAGATTGATAGCAGGGCTATTGTTTGTCACTATGTGGGAGACTTATATAGCAACCAGCTTGGAAACAATGTTGGGTAGTTCTGATTAAGGTAGTGTCCGTGCTGTCTGGGTGGTGGGAACGGCCTGATCTGGCTTCGTCCTGATCGTGCTGCTCATGCTCGGTGAGTCTCCAGGGACCCTTCCCATGCCGCATGCACTCGCAGGAGGAGGCTCAGCTCAGATGGCTTGCAGAGTTGTGGAAGGACTGGAACGTGCAAGGGAGCACTACTTTTCCCTGGCAGGTCTAGTGCTCAGGTCTCTTTTTTCCCATTAAAATGTTAAGGTAAAATGTTTTATATCTCTTCTACATAGACCTGTGTCAAAATCCACAGAATCCGTTTAGGGGGTCTTTCACCAACTTGTGCTCTCTGAAAGGGTCCAGAGTGGGAGCACCTGTGCCTGAGTGCTGACCTACCAGCCAAGCAGTTCTCCTGGGCCATGCATTTTTCCTTGGGCTCTGTAATGTTACTGCCTCTGCCTCTGTCTTTGGGTGACTGGAAGTCCCAAAGCTAATTTCAGTTTTCTTTTATGAAGAAGAAAGAAAAAAGAGGAGGAGTGCCTAATCCTTTTCTTCCTGAAGCAAGCTCTGGAGAAAGAACTCATGCACTAGATTTGAAAAAGACTGGCACTGCTTTTTCACTGAGATTTAGTGCCATTTCCTAATTGCCACTGAGAACTGTCCACAGGAGAACAAGCGGAATTGTAGTGCTCATCCAAACGATCAAGGAGTGTCATACGCTATGTCTGCTCATCACAAACAGATTAGCTTTAATTTCCTAGTCTGGATGACAGCACAGTCTATTCAACATCATCTTTGAGTTGCTAATCCTCAAAGAATCTATTTATTTCCTTTTCAATGTTATTGCCATGGAAACTGGCTAAATTGCAGGTCCAGATTACATCTTTACTGTTCACTCCCTTTCATATTGATCTGCAGACATTCTTCAGGTGCCAGCAGGAAGGAAAGAACAAATCAGTATTATTCCTTGAAACATCTAGTCACTTGCTGTGCTCTCCAGCCTCCACTATGTGAGTGTAGCCACTTGCATTCTGTGTCTCCTAGGGCAAGAGACTTGAAACCTGAAGATCTGCTACCTGCAGCCTCATTTTCTGTGATAACATTGCTCAGCCAAGCTTGAGAGGACAACATGACAGATTGCTTCCATATCTATTTTTCAAGTCTTTGCAAGTGATAACACAATGACACAGAGCGAACAATTACCATTTGGAGCACAAATCCAGGAAATGTTTCGCAGATGCACTAAAAGTGAAAACAGGTGTAATCAGGAGTCAAGGAGAATTGCTATCAAAAGTCCATATCACTGTCAAGAATGGTGAAGTCTCTATGTCAGAATCCAGATAATGAAGTACTTAAGGGAAGAACGCGTCTCCACTACATGCATGCTCTGCCTATAACAGGTGATGGTCCGAACCATAGGTGTTGCTAGTCTCATATTTTGAGGATTTGAGTTCTGTCTTGAGTGTTTAGGCATTCAGCTGAGTATGAGGTAAATGTGCCCTCCTGTAACTTGGTCTGGATTCTTAGAGGTGGAATGTAGGGGCTCTACCTCTTTAGAGACCTGTTGCAAGCTTTTGTTTTAATCAGATGATAATGGAGTTCTTGATGATGGAATAGTCTTTATCCCTTGGGAAATTTTGTAGGTTTGAAAGTGGATGGAAGGCAGGGGCGACAACTGAAATGAGTGATATATGTTTTCTTTTAAGTGTTTGGAAAACCTGGATATGCATGCATAAGTAGCCCCTAGAGAGCTGTAAGATTAGAATCCAGCATTTACATAGCAAGTCATAAGATATGCTACTGACCTTCGTGACATTACAAGAGTCATTTTCACACAGATAGCATTTTTAATGATCTGTAATGCATTAGTCATTGATGTCTTTGCCTTGCATCATGCGTTCAGATCCTAATGTCCACTTTACTTTCCACTGTACTTGAGCTACAGTCAAGTTACAAGGAAAAAAATCTGTTCTTTATTACTGTATTGTTTTGTCTCTGACCCTTTTGTAATACAGTTTTGTTTTGGAGAAGTCTTTCTGTATCCCTGTAAAGTCTTTCATGCCAATGCACATCACTATGGATCATAAGAACCTGAGGGGAATAAGTGCCCTTACGTTGCATGGGACGGCACCCTCACATTATAATTCTTCATTCTTTTTGTACATACAGGGTGTTGAGGTTTATTCTCTTTCACTCTGGCATGACAGAATGCAGCACATGCCCTTGTCTGTCTCTCCAGAGAGTGAGTTAATGTTGGTAATAGAATGGGTGAGTTTACTAAGTACAGGAGGTAACATAATTATATGGCTTTAAGAGATCTATTTCTAACCTAATTCAATAACTTGTTAAGTTTATGAGTGATTCGTAGGCAGAGGTTGCTATTGTTGCAGAAAGGCTTGTGTAAATTGAGCATGGCTGGTTATGTGGCTGATTTTGGCTGAACCTGGTAATATTATGTTCTCTGTATCTTCAAAATTTGTATTTAGAAGAAATGAGGGGAGTTTTTGAGGACTGTCATTATCCGGTGTGTCTGCATGACTTGCTTTAGGGATGGAGTGCTTTCCTTCACTTTAGCCTCTGCCAGTGAGAGCAATGCATAATCTAGTGTTCATACTACAGGAAGAGGTGCTCAGGGGCCAAACTTGTATTCCTGATTCCATCATGGATTATGGCAGTTTTCTTGCATATGAGATGGGGCTTCCCGAGGGAGGAAAAATAAAATAAAATCAAGAGCCAGGGAATGAGTAGGCACTTTTGAAAATGTTGGCCTCAATATGTCAATTTATGTATTTCTAAATTGGGGGATTGTAAGTCTTTCACAGTACTCCATAAAGGCTCTGTGAGGGTTTGCAAAGTATTTTGCAGATGGTAGCATGGAAAGTTGCACTGCAATGCCAGGAACAACATCTTCATTTCCGACCACACCTCTGGAGCATTCATACATTTGGTGACAGTCCCATGTGACAGCAGTCCATTAAGAGACTATCATAGGTCTGATTTCCCCAGATGTATCGTTTTCCTCTTCCCCAGAAATTTTATCTGGAAGAAAAGAATAATTTTTTTATTTATCCCAGATACCCCCAGAATATGTCAGAGCTGGTGTCAGTGTGGCACTTGTTGGCATATGCCCTATGCGATGTTCATGCCCAGAGCACTGTTTTACAGGATGGCTTACCGTCAGGCTCGGGAGTATACGAAGGAAGAGCTAGACTCTTCAGTGGAGTTCATGGCAAGTCCTCAGTCCACCTTATCATAAAACCATGATTACAATAAATTGTGTGTGCAGGTTTTACAGATTATTATGAATGCATCAACCATAATTACAAAGAGTTAGAAATCTTACAGAAAAAAGAAGAAATGTTTCATTAACCAATATCTGAAAGGAAACCCAGCTTCTTCCCTTTGTTTACCAGTAATATGTAATTTTAATAAGTTGCCTGCCCTATCACAGTTTGACTTACCAACCTTGTTTGACATGCTGCGGCTGTCCCTTGCACTTGGAGGTTGAATGTACTACATAGAGCATGTAACTAATGAGATGTGGTTTTGTTCATCCTTTCAGTTAATTCTGTGTGTTCTTTTTTCCCCTCCCTTTGTGCTGCACGGCTGATTACCACCCTAGGACCTTGCAATGGGACACAGACCCCTCAGTGCTGCAGCTCCAGTCTGACTCTGAACTTGGGTATATGTCAGCTCTTTTTGTTATTTGTTTATCATTTCTTTGCAAGAATTATGTTGAAAATGCTTCCCAGTTGAACTGGTTTTATGTGATTTTCATTTGCTTTGTTGACTCAAAAAGTCCATAAATTAAGTTTCCTTTTTTTAGTTTCATCAGTAAGAAGCTTCAGCTTCAGCAAAGCCATCTTTGTGGAAAAACCCAACATTTAAGGAAGCTCATGAAAAGATAAGCTGCTATTTATGTTGCCTGAAACACAAATAACTATTTCATTACAGATGAAATGTTATTATTGTGGCACTTTTATGTGCATGTACAGTTACAGTGGTCTTATTTGTACCTGTTGATTCAGAATTTTCTCTCTGAATCATTTGCAAGGTACTTTTTCCCCTCCTTCCTGTCTGCCATAGTTCTGCTGTTTCCACATGCAGTAACAATTTCCCCTTTTTCCTTAGGAGCTGTATATGTGCTTATAATTGTGCATTAAATATGATCATAGTCCAAAAGTAATTGCCATCTTAGTTGAGTTCAGGCCAATCAAGCATTTTTTAAATTGTACTAGAGCTACAATTAATATTTTCTACTTTGGGATAGAACTTTGCTACCCCAAGTATCTGAAAAAAAATCAGTTAATTTAAATAATTTAGAAATGCCTACCTGCAGAGATATTTAGGACAAACCATTCCTCTAAAAAGGATAGGTAGCAGTCCCTCAAGTTCTTCAGAACTTGAATCATAGGCAAAACCAAATCTCCATGTTGAAGAAATTGCTCTACCTGTCAACTTACGGGCTTGCCTGTTTGAGTCTCCAGGCAAGCATCTTATGCTTTTACTAGTTCATGTGAAATTGATTCACTGTTCTATAAGAAAAACAACAATTTCCATTTAATTAGTGATTGACAGTGTTCCCAGCTGCAGATCGGGATGTTAGGGCCATTCACCAGGAAAGATCAGAAGGGGTGGAAAGTATCCAGAGAGCTTTCTAAAGAAGGTTTCTCCACATCCAAAACTGCTAGGAATGTTTGTGATTTCCACCTGAGCATGGCTTCAAATAGATCCAGCTTCTGCAACTTTACCTGAGCTATACCAAAAAAGGTAGAGTTTTTTTGAGCTGTTTTAATGTACAGAAACCTTACGGAAATCTCAGCTGTCCTTTCCCAGAAGTTTGGATTAAAAGATGAGCACTCCCAGGAGCAAGGTTCCTCAAACATCTGTGCAAGGCAGGTTCCTTTATTTGACTTGTGAAAAGATAACACTGTATAGCCACAAGACTTCAATCTGAGTGGTCAGTGCAGAGAGAGAAAAGAAGCATGCCAAAGAGTAAATCCACAGGTATACTCCATAATGGAAGTCCTGCCCCTTTTGAAAGAAAATTGTCGTCAAAACCAGTGGAGAGATAGAGTGAGGACCAAACTTTCCTCTGATGTCATGTGACTAGATTTTAAAAAAACCCATACCAATGGAAAAGAAATGCTGCAGTCAGCAATTAAATGATGCGTGTAACAAAACACTTCTAGCAGATACATCTTTCTTCTGACACCTACAGACAGAGGAATCAATTTTAATGCATGGACTTTAGTTACTGTCCTCCTACTGGCATCCCATAGGCAGTTTTGAAAGGAATCCTTCAAAGCTTATGTGGTCTCTAAGATGAATAGTCACCAAACTGTAAATTATAAGAATTATGAGCACCTCTGATGAAAAATGGGGATGCGAAAGCAATAGACAGTTTAGTCCTGTCCTAAAAAGAACGGGAGACCAGAACTTTACAGTCCATATTTGGTAGAGTCCAGATACTGAAAGGATGCTCCAGTTGTCCTCCAGTGCTTGAGGGCTGGGCCAACTTTCAGTTATGTAAAAAACATTACAGGTTGTTTAACAGGGGCAAAAAAGAATTAAGAGACCACATTCCTTCAGAGGAAGAGAGACCTCCCTGTCTTCACCAATAATTACCAGGATATGGGCGACACTAGCCATTTGTACAGGTATCAGCAATTCCAAACTAGAAATGTCTTAGGTGAAAAAAATCCACACTTTCTGTCAGCACAGTGCTCTGGGATGTAGCTCACTTCTTGTTTAGCAGTCTACAAAGAGGCTAACCCAATTAGCAGTTAAATCCAGCTCTCCATTAGGATCGATGTTCCCCATCCTCAAGCAGTTGAGGAGATACGGAGTGACCTCATGTGAAACTGTTGTTAGAATTAGGTGAGGTTCTAATTAGGCCCAGATTAGGCACATAATTACTTAGAGATTAGACTTAACCAAGACCACAGTCAAGAAACTCTTTCAATGCAGAAGGCTTAAGAATCTCACTAAATGGAACCAGTAGCCTGGCGTAGCAGAGGACTGGTTACATAGGAAAGTCTACCTGACCAAGCAGACAACAGAGATTTCACATCTGATGCTGAAGGAGGGAATAGCACGTGAGGTTTTTTTGTTATGAGATATATTTATTAAAGTTTGAATTCACACAAACTCTCAGTTAAAGCAGCTACAAAAATGTTACACTACTAAAACTTTTGTTAGCTGAAGTATATCACAAGCTGTGGTTTTTCTGCCCCCACGTAGGATTTCAGACAGTTGTAGCTTTTGTTCGTATTGGCAAAGTCACAGATGGCTGTAAGGAGGGAGACTTGTTAATTTTTCCTCTTTGAAAAGCAGACAGACTCAAAGCTGTATTTCTGCTCTAGTGGTTTGTTACGCGATATGGCTGATTCATACTGATTACCTGCTGAATCTAATTGCGTTCAGCTTAATAACAACTCAGCCAGTAAGATAGATTGGAAAAATATATAGCTGATGTAGCATTAACCAGCTGAAGAGTTCAGTAGGTGTCATCCGATGATGACAATTTCCTTTTGAGACTCCCATTTCCTTTCAGATCAATCTTAATTGAATACTTAAACCTTTGTAAATGAATTAGATCAAAAAGCCTTTGACCTCTGTTCTTCTGACAATCTGGAAAACAGAGAGGATATGGATAATATGTATGAATTTTCTGCTTGTCCAAATTGCTCTCTCTAATGACATGGCAGTTCAGAAACCTCATGTCCATTAATTTATTTCCCATAAATGTATAAGTGTGCTTGCACTTATTTAGTTGATTTTTTTTTTTATTATGCTCATATCCTTTTCTCTACTGAAAGCTGGCATTTTTTCCAGTAAAATATTTGCAAGTAAATGTTTATTCTTCCTTCCCTAAAGACAGTCAAATAATATTCAGGAAATAAATTGATTTTTTTCCCCCCACTGTTGAGTGAACTATGTATGACCATAAGTGTTCATGTTCAGCTGTCTCTCTTCTTTCTCACTTACCTGCTTACAGTTAGTTGGCTTTACTGATTTATTTCATATGGTTTATGTAAAATTAGGGAAGTAGTAGAAAAAGAAGGCTATACTTGCCCTGTTCCAGCTGTCTCAGAGCTCCCGTTCTTAATCATAAACCTACATCAATTCCACTACTAATGACTCCTGTGGAAGGGACAATCTCCTTTGTTATGGAAATTACCCACCTTGCCAATTAAAGGCTCTGTTATTGCTCTCAGGTGAACATCTGACAGTCCTAATCCAGCCTGCTTTACATCCAGTGTGCCATTTCCACTATTGTGTAGCTCAGGCTGAGGATTAACTCCTTTGAGCAGGCAGAATGCTGTAGTAATGGTGGTGTGAAAGAGAATTTTGTTGCATGTTATGAGGGGCACAAGCAGGTCACTTCTCTCTCTCATTTACAGTCCCTCTCAGCCGCACGATCTAGAAGTTCAGTAACTGGACTTTATTACGGCAAATGGTTCCCAGGTTACTTTTCTTCACTGCAAATAGGTACTTCTCATGAATAGTGTATTGTGTTTCATCGTAGCAAACACCAAAGTGGGTTTTTTTATCCTATTCATAAAAGCAAACACTCTTGTTCCTGCTGCTGATTTATATTTAGCATGACTAACCTTTTGATGTCATGTATTCCATCTTAGACGCAGACTGCACAAACTAGGGGTATCAAAGATTACCCAGGTTGATTTCTTACCTCGGGAGGTGGTATCATACTCCAAGGAGACGCAGACACCCCTTGCCACACATCAATCTGAAGGTAAGATTTTACTTTTTTTTTTTTCAAAAAACATTTTCATAGAAAATAAGTATTTGAATAAGAGTTAAAGAATGTAAGAAAAATAATAGTAAATCATCATATAGCTACTTATCACATATTTTCTGCAAGCCAGGTATTGTTTATGTGATTAATGGCTGTTCTGGTGAGAATAATTAGAATAATGACTTTAAATTCAGGTGGAACCAAACTACTTCTGCCTTACAATGGGTTATGCTTAGATAGCAGTTAAATGAGAACATATTTTCAAATAAATCATTATGAATATAATTAAAATAATGCTTTATTCCATTTTTCTTGCTTTCTCAATAAAAGTTACTCATTCCATGCTTTGTAAAGAGGCAGTGATGAAGAGTTGCCCTCAGATATTTGGTCAGAGTAATTGTGTCCCCCTCCAGTAGTAGGTGACTCTTAGGAGAAGTTACACTTTCGCTCCATGTGCTGAAAAAGGAGGCTTACGTGTTTTGATGTGGACAGTCCTGCTTTCTCTCTGCTGACAGATATTATCGCTACTCATGGAGCTGTTTGTTAGCTGTTTGGCTTTCCTGTTGATAAGTGAATGTATGGACTAGTTAGTAGGGGAATGCTGATCTATCTGTTCCTTACACTACACATTTGCCAGTGTTGTACTGCAAAGGCCTGATTGCGGGTCAATTGAAACCATTTAAACTGCATGTAAAACTGTACATTAGCCTGATGTAATTTACATCCTATTACAAAGCAGATAGAAGAATTAAAACTGAAGACAATCTTGACTGTAATTTTTGCTGTTAACAATTAAGGATCAAGAAAAGTTCAACAATTGGGTGCTTTCCTGGAGCATATAGTGTAGAACTTCACCAGCTTCCATGTATTAGAAGAAGATTCAAGTAGGTTCCAAAAGGTGTCCGAGTAAATCCATCTAAATATAAGTTACTGTCAGAAAAGATACAGTGATAAGCATAGCCAGCTTTCTTTCTGCAACTGGGTTACCAGGTCTGCCTTTAAGAAACCAGAAATGAAAACTGCTGAGCTGGATACTCAGATTCTACTTTCCCAGACCACAAGTTTACCCTGTTGCCTGAAATAGTGCCTTCAAGCATAGACAACCCTGTTGCTTCTTAAGCAGCATGTCCTGACAGCTTTGCCTTCTCAGAGGGAGAGGCTGCCTTGGAAGCCTCCCTAGTTCAATCCAGCTCACCTCTCCTCATCTCTCTGAGGGCTGCTGAAGCCTCAAGAAGATGGGGTTTGCCCCTAAGGCCTTGCCTTCCTGGCTTGAGACCAGTAGGTTCTCAACCCTGGGGCATCGTCATGGAGTCGTCATTAGATAAGATGGAGAGGATGCTCTTCCTCCCTGACACAGGGCCTTTATCCAATGCAAGAGCCTATGGATATGGGGAGTTGAAGACATGGCTTTGATGTGTTTACCTCTCTCAGGCCTGCAATTCCAGCACTCATTAGTTGACATGCCTTTCTGAACAGGCCAACCTCTCTTGAGGAACCAACTTCTTCCAATAAGTTCTTCTTACTTCTTCCTAAGGAGCTCTTCAGCTATTACAAAATCCTTTTCTTGGATGGAAAAAAGGACAACTTCCAACCCTTCAAGGTAAAAAAAACCCAAACAAACAACAACAAAAAAAACCCCACCCCAACATTGTGCTGCTGTGGAGCCTGGCAGTCAGAACAGCAAGCACAGGGGGCAATGTGGCTTTTCTTGGTTCTCCCAACACAGAAGAAGCTCTTGCTCCTCACTTGTACGAAAGAAGATAAATGCAAACATAAAAAGTGATGGAATTTCAACTGCCTAGGCAAAACCTGTGATGGGAAGGGTCAAATGGTGATAAGTGCTTTTGGTGACTGGATTTATTATCTTTCATATGCTCTGTGTCATCACAGTCAAGGAAAAAACATCAACAAAAGTGAAGTTTTAATATTTAAACACAGAGAAAATAATACCCGATCACTTCCCTCAGATGTGTGGGGGAAGAGAAAGTTTAACTTAAATTTCCTTTCTAATCTGCTGCTAGGGAATTCTCTGTGCATAACTTGGACATCAATATGGCTCTGCATCAGTAAAGGAGAGTCAGGAAAGTCTGGTTATTCCATTGAAATGGTATTTAATAGGAAACTCTCAAGGGGGTAAATAAGCTCTGTGATTTTGGTCTCCCAGGTCTGATGGAAATGACTTCTCAGGTTTTCAGTCTCCCAAGCCTCTTTATGAACGCTGAGCCCTTCATACTGTCACTCTAAACGTGAATTCCTTGGGAGAGCAGTTTGGAGGAGAAGTCTCCATGCTGTTCCTATGCATTCATGTGATAAAATATAGCCATTATCTCTTCAAGATAAATTGTTCAGCCATTACTATGGTCATGTGCTCAATTATTCAGTATCTGAAGCCTTAGAGTTTGAGAAAAGAAAAAACAGAAACTCCTTATTTACGTAGATGAGTCTGACTTCAGCTTTCAGAATTCCGTTTCTCACTGCCTGCCTTGCACACTGGAAATGTCAAAATGCGGAATTTTAGGATGAGATTGTCAAACACTTGCTTCTGGTTTGGAAGACAACTAATGTAGGGTACAGCTGAATGGAAAGATCTTTCCTGTACAATTAAGCCACCGAAAGAGGACTTTGAGTCTGTTCAAAGTTCTACAGCTTTTTTGAAGGGTCAGCATCAGTTTTTCTGCACATTCCTTCTCTAGAAAGAAAGAAACTCTGAGGTACCTTAGACCTCCTGTTGTTCTGGAGCTCAGTGGATGTAGGCCTTTTTGGTAATGGCTATTCCCCACCAAACCTTATAAAACTGCTAAAGGAAAGCTTCATTGTGGTAAGCACATCTGGCCAGATAGCCAGATGCTATGAGCACCAAAGGCTGAGCTTGTCAGCTGCTAATTTTAGAAGAAATAATGTGGCATCATTCTTCATTGTATAAAAACAGATTAACTCCTCTTTTCAGAGCAGGTAATTTGCTTTATTTCAGAGGAATAATGACATGACATTTCCCCCACCCACTCTATTATTTAGGGAGATGTGTATATGCATCATTCAACCCTTTGATCACAAATACCTAATTCTTTTGCCTTATTTAGGTCACAGTAAGTTTCAGCCTTTTCTTTTGCTCCTTGTAGGATGACTTAAAAAACCACCCAGATCTTGGCTCTGGAGCCTGAGGAAAAAAAGTGCTCTTTATGTTTCCCCTCCTCCTTCTGTAATTGGACTTGAATTTAGGTATTCATAGGCATTAAGAGACATTTCACTTGTGCTGCTTTTTCCATTCTGGAGTTAATTAAGACCTAGACTATGCCAAATGTTTTCTGAGAGGTCTCTGGGACACATTCTTTCACTGTGCGGAGACTCTCATGTTGCCCTGGAATGGCAGCCCCGTGTAGCCTTCAATGGTTGGACCCTCCAAAGCACTGCAGAACTGCCTGTTGCTGAAGGCACACCTAGGAGAAAGCAGCAACAGAAAAGCCGTGGCCTGACCTCTGCCCAGGATGAATCCCTCACTGCCATATAGCAGTAGAAGGAACTCTGTATGTCTACCTGCAAGCTACCTTTTCAGATAGCAAAACAGCCTGCACATTCAAGCTCTGCTGGGTGCCCACCTCAGCTTCAGCTTATTGTTCTCCTTCTCTCTAATGAGCCAGGAGGTAAAATCTCAGTGAGGAGAACATCACACTGTTCCTGCACTGAAAAGGGAGATACTCCTCTGATCTGACTCCCCTCAAAAACAGACGGGCAGCAAGAAGGTGAAGGTCTGTGAGCTCTCTGGCTTTGCTGGCCAGCGTCATGAATGTTGTTATTCCTCTTTTGCAAAGTAGAAACTACTTCTTCATCAATAAAAAGAGATGTTCTTACTTTTCTGCCTTGCCAGACTGTAACTGCAAACAAGTTAGTTTGAAATACGTTTCTGAAAAAGTAGATCTCTTATAGACGGGAGGAAGATCTGACTTTCTAGAACAATGGAAGTCCTATGTACTTCACCTGTTTATGATCTTCAACAGATGGTTGTTCATGTGGGCAAAACAAATGTGTTACCATACTCACCTCCTGAGCAGGATAACCTCATCCTATGTCACAAATGTTTGCCCAGCTCTGGCAAAGAACACAATTCAGGCCCATGGTCCATCTGTTTATCTCCCGTATTCAAATAATGATGATATTTTGCCTATTAGGGAAAGTGGAAAAATAAACTCCCTACTCCATTTGGAAGTAGACAGGAATGAAATGGCAAAACGGAGGTGCAACTCCAGACGCTAGGTTGCATTTTGTGTCTCTCTGACACTAATTATCTGAACTAATGTGCCTGAAAGTTATCCTTTTTAAAGCACTGAGGGAGGAGAGGGGAATTCTGCTTGCAGTCTAAGGCTCATGAGACTAAGACACATGAGTTTAGGTATCTGTGTGTGATACCAGACGTAACTGCTGTAGGGTGAACCAAAACTCTCTCTAGGCATAATGACTGTATTGACTAGTTCTTCACTGACTAGCTTGATAGCAGAGTGCTTCATGCAGGCATATTAATGTAGGTTTCTCATTATTGAGTAAACTATGTGTGACTCAAAGTGTCATACACTGACACCGTGTAAGGGCTGTGTCCTACTTGGTAACCAGATGAGGAGTTATCTGCGACTAGGACTACCAAGCCCCAATGCTGTGACAAGAAGTCAGACCTCTGGGAGTTCCATGATAAAATCCATAAAGTTATTTTTACTTTGATTGTTAGGAACTGAGATTTCCAGGTTTAATCACTGTGGAGCTCTGGCTCTGTCTGTCCCGTAAGATAATGTGCATCAGACCTCCAGTGCAGAAAATTCTGTACCAGGCCTGCTGTGCCTTCCCGTGTATGAGTGTAGCTCAGCTCTAGCTTTGTGAATGCATGCTTAGCTTAAAAAAAGCCAGTTCCAAAACTAAGCAAGATCAGACTTGAGCTTTCCAATGCCCAATCTGTCTAGAGCTCATGGATCAGAAGCTGGGGGTTAAGTTAAAGAGCTTACTGTGGCTTT